CGTCCTCTTCTGAATCCGGCCTGAATTTCTGGCAGTTCCCTGTCAATATACTGCTGGAGCCACTTTTGAAAGATCTTCAGCAAAATTTTACTTGTGTGTAATAATGATACTGTTCTATAATTTCTGCATTCGGTTGGATCACCTTTCTTGGGAATAGGCATAAATATGGGTCTCTTTCAGTCAGTTGGCCAGGAAGCTGTCTTCCAAATTTCTTGGCATAGACAAGTGAGCACCTCCAGTGCTGCATTTGTTTATTGAAACATCTCAATTGATATTCCATCAATTCCTGGAGCCTTGTTTTTCGCCAACGCCTTCAGTGCAGCTTGGACTTCCTCCTTCAGTACCATCGGTTCCTGATTATATGCTGCCTCCTGAAATGGTTGAACGGTGACCAATTCTTTTTGGTATAATGACTCTGCGTATTCCTTCCATCTTCTTTTTATGCTTCCTGCATCGTTTAGTATTTTCCCCATAAAATCCTTTAATATTGCAACTCGAGGCTTGAATTTTTTCTTCAGTTTTTTCAGCTTGAGAAATGCTGAGCATGTTCTTCTCTTTTGGTTTTCTATCTCCAGCTCTTTGCACATGTCATTATAATACTTTACTTTGTCTTCTCGAGCCACCCTTTGAAATCTTCTGTTCAGTTCTTTTACTTCATCATTTTTTCCTTTTGCTTTAGCTACTCAACATTCAAGAGCAAGTTTCAGAGTCTCTTCTGACATCCACTTTGGTTTTTTCTTTCTTTCCTGTCTTTTTAATGACTTCTTGCTTTCTTCAGGTATGATGTCCTTGATGTCATTCCACAACTCATCTGGTCTTCAGTTATTAACGTTCAGTGGGTCAAATCTATTCTCGAGATGGTCTCTAAATTGAAGTGAGATATACTCAAGGTCATAATTTGGCTCTCGTGGACTTGCTCTAATTTTCTTCAACTTCATCTCGAACTTGCATATGAGCAACTGATGGTCTGTTCCGCATTTGACCCCTGGCCTTGTTCTGACTGATGATATTGAGCTTTTCCATCATCTCTTTCCACAGATGTAGCTAATTTGATTCCTGTGTATTCCATCTGGCAAGCTCCATGTGTCTAGTCGCTGTTTATATTGGTGAAAAAAGGTATTTGCAATGAAGAAGTCGTTGGTTGTGCAAAATTCTATCGTGTGATTTCCAGCATTGTTTCTATCATGAAGGCCATATTTTCCAACTACCGATCCTTCTTTGTTTTCAACTTTTGCATTCCAATCATCGGTAATTATCAATGCATCCTGATTGCATGTTCCATCAATTTCAGACTGCAGAAGCTGGTAAAAATCTTCAATTTCTTCATTTTTGGCCTTAGTGGTTGGTGCGTAAATTTGAATAATAGTCATATTAACTGGTCTTCCTTGTAGGCGTATGGATATTATCCTATCACTGACAACACTGTACTTAAGGATAGATCTTGAAATGTTCTTTTTGAAGATGAACGCAACGCCATTCGTCTTCAAGTTGTCATTCCCAGCATAGTAGACCATATGCTTGTCCAATTCAGAATGGCCAATACCAGTCCATTTCAGCTCACTAATGCCTAGGATATCACTGTTCATGCATTCCATTTCATTTTTGACGATTTCCAATTTTCCTAGATTCATACTTCGTACATTCCATGTTCCAATTATTAATGGATGTTTGCAGCTGTTTCTTTTCATTTTGAGTCATGCCACATCAGCAAATGAAGGTCCCGAAAGCTTGACTCCATCCACATCATTAAGGTTGACTCTACTTTGAGGAGGCAGCTCTTCCCCAGTCGTCTTTTGAGTGCCTTCCAACCTAGGGGGCTTATCTTCTGGCACTATATCAGACAATGTTCTGCTGCCATTCATAAAGTTTTCATTGGCTAATTCTCTTCAGAAGTAGACTGCCGGGTCCTTCTTCCTAATCTGTCCTGGAAGTTCAGCCGAAATTTGTCCCCCATGGGTGACGTTGCTGGTATCTGAATATCGGTGGCATAGCTCCCAGCATCACAGCAACACGCTAGCCCCCACAGTACGACAAACTGACCGACACGTGGGGGGGATGTTAAGAGTAGAACCAACAAAAACCAACCTATTGCCGTTGAGTCGATTCTGACTCATAGCAACCCTATAGGACACAGTAGAACTGCCCCACAGGGTTTCCAAAGAGCAGCTGGTGGATATGAACTGCTGACCTTTTGTTTAGCAGCTGAGTTCTTAACCACTGCACCACCAGAGCTCCGTTAAGAGTATGGACTCTAGTAATTAGACTGATGGGTTCAAAGCCTATAACTTAGTGCAATTTACTTAACCTCTCTGTGCCTATTTCCTTGTCTGTAAAACAAGGAATGATCATAGTATGTATATCTTATGGTTTTGTGAAGATTAAATAATCTAAATATATCTAAAGTGCTTAGAATAGTACCTGGCACATGGTAAACATTATGTTAAGTGCTAGCTAATATCATCATTACTTTCTCCTGGTTGTGAGAAGATACAAAAGAACATATTTACAACATCTAGCACAATGCCTGCTGCCCTGGAAATGAAAAAGTCTGTGGTTCTAATAGATGTCTTCCTTCAGGTTCCCATCGGACCACTGAGAAATTTCAATATCCTCTGAGGAAGTGTAAATTAAGGTCATAACGTGTCACATAAAAGAGCTTCAAAATTAAAATTTGGGCAAAAAGAATACTGGTGTTACATTCAATATCTCAACTGCCTTACCTTAAAAGCTTTGAAGCTGAGAAAAAGCGGTTAACAGACAAAGGTCAAAATGCCAAAATAGAGCATTTGGACAGAGGAAGAAAGTACCGTCAATTAACATGATGATTAATGTAAACAGATTTCCAGGGCTGCTGTTATAAAATGATTTGAAGGCTATGATATTATCCTTGAAAATAAAGAAATAAGAGATTTGAGCTTTTAACCAGGAGCAAACCTTTGGATAACCTTCATTAGGTAAGCAAGATATTACTTACACTTTTGAAGGAAGCTGCAAATTCAGCAACACCTGGTACTAAAAAGAAAGAAAAAAAAATCATTCATTGAATAAATATTTGAGTGCCTTAAGCATAGAGGATTCAAATAATAAGAAAACAGCCTTGCCCTCAAGGAGCTTAGAGTCTGGAAGAGGAGAGAGAATAAATCAATAATATTGCTTAAGCTCTAAGAAAGAGACTGGGCGCTATGGGAGGACAAACAGTGGAAACCTAAATCAGACCAAAAATGCAGGAAAAGCTTCTCAGAGGAAAAGATGCTTCATTTGAACCTTAAAGGACCAGGAGTTAGCCAGATGGGAGGGTGGGAGATACAATATCTCTTACCAGAAAGTTTGGATCAAATTTCCTTTTTAGGTATGCTGTTCTTTCAATCCAATTATTTATATAAATGTTTCACAGGAATAATCACATTAAAGAGCAGAAAAATAAAAATCAGACACTTAAAAATGAAATAATATTCAATCTTACTTATAAAGAAATGCAAACTAAAACACATAATAAAAATCAGTAACATCCAATATTGGTGAGTTTGTGACGAAATGAACACTCATACACAGTCATTTTCTTCCATGTGCACAAAGATATGTGCAAGAATATTCACTGTTAAATTGCTTGTAAAATAAAAACTGGGTATAACTTAGGTTTGCAAATAGAATATGAATACATAAACTATGGTTCATCTATACAACAAAACACAACTATATAGATCTACTTCATTCTTTTAAATGGTTACATATCTACCCACTGCTGCTGAGTTGATTCTGACTCATAGCCACCCCCCAGGGTCTCCAAGGCTGTAAATCTCTATGGAAGCAGACTGCCACATCTTTCTCCCGTGGAACTGCCGTGGTTTCCAACTGTGGACCTTTCAAGTCGAGTCTGACTCATTCCGACTACAGGATCACTATGAGTTGGAATCAACTTGACTATGTAACCACTTAAAAGAATGAAGTAGATCTATATATGTTGTTGTTGGATGTCAAGTCAATTTCGACTCACAGCAACCCCATGTGACAGAGTAGAACTGCCCCATAGAGTTTTCTAGGCTGTAATCTTTATGGGAGCAGATCGCCAGGTCTTTCTCCTGCAGAACCACTGGATAGGTTCAAATCCCCAACCTCTTGGTTAGCAGTCAAGCACTTAACCATTGCACCACCAGGGATCCTTATATCTATATATATACCAACATGAAAAGCTCCATTAATAAATTACTAGGTGGAATAAGTTAAGCTTCAGATCATGTACATATGACCTCATCATCATACCAAACTATCCACATACTTTAAAATATATTTATTTGCTTATCTGTATACAGCAAAATTTTAAAAAATAATAGTTTTTTTAAAGGCTTCCTATCATTTCCTGAGTCATAACGTGTTCTGAAAAAATTAAACCACCAAACAAATATTCTTAACATTGGACCACAGAATTCAGAATTCTTCAATATCTCCCTCAAAGGAGCACTGGTTCTCCAGTGTTGATTCTGATGTAAACAAACCAAAAACTTACACTGTTCAGGCCAAAGGTCTGGTGAGGCACGGTCAAGTTTTTCAAAACTTAGCAAAGATGCTTCCAGATCCGTCCCTAAAACAAAACATTCAAATGAGCCAAGAAGACACAAAACACATTCATTTGTATTTTATGACATTTCACTTGCAAAAGAACATAACAAACCAGAACACTAACCTGGAGGTGTAGAAATTTGAGTTCTATAATTACTGATGCTACCGAGCCATGATGTAACACAAATAAAGCATTCCCCTCCTCAAACCTCATTTTTTCAGTCTTTGAAATGGAGTAATATTTTACCGGTGTGAAACAGAAATGAGTATCAACAAACCCACCTACATTCTCATTCTAACTCTTGGCCTTTCCTCCAGTTACAATCAATTGTCACTGCCCCCAGGAAAGACAAACTCCTCTGCTAGGACTCTCATGCCATCTTCTCCTGTTTTGTCAAGAAGGTCATCTTGAATAATCGACTCTCTCTTGCACCATCAGTTTCTACCTTCTCTACTAGCTCATACTCAACAGCAAGCAAGCCTGCTCTAGAGTTTTCTTTCTTTAAAACAACTCTCCCTTGACCTCATGACCTCCTCCACATACCCATCACGACAAAAGCTTTCGTCTATCCCTTTGTCTCCACTTCACCTCCACACTCTCTCCTTAACCTACAATAATTAGGCTTCTGTCCTTACATACACAGAAACTGCTCTTGTCAAGGTCATCTATGACCTGTGTTGCTAAATCCAGGTGCCATTCATTTATCTGTTCTCCTATATGACCTCTTTGCAGCATACACACACTGACCACTCTCCCTGAAACACTCCATTCCCAGCTTCTATGAAACTACTCTGCTGGTTTTTCTCCTCTCTCACTGACTCTTCCTTCTTCAGTATCCTCCTCTGTCCAGGCCCCATTTAGCTCACTCCACTCTCTGCCTCAAGCCTGCTAAGGGGATCTCATCTAGTCCCACAGCCTTTACCATCATCTGCATGCCAATGACTCCATATTTATATTTCCATCCCAAATTTTTCTTCCTCTGAACTTTAGAATTATATATTCAAGTGGCTACTAGCTATCTCTCTCCATTTGCATGTGTGAAAAACCCCTTAAACCTAATATGTTCAAAACCATACTCTCTCCTAGTCTTCTCCATCTCAAGAAATAACACCACCATGAACCCCAATTCTCAAACCAAAAACCTAGACGTCATCCTTCATGCCTCTTTCCTTCACCATCCCACAACCAATCCATCAGTAAATCCAGTAGTTTCTATCTCCAAAATACATCCTGAAACCATATTAGTCCAAGGGACCATCACTTCTCTCTTGGACTATACCAATAGCCTCTAAAACAGGTCTCCCCACTTCTATTCTCACCCTCCCCACTCCCAAATCTATTCTCCACAAAATAGTCAGAACTGTTTTTTTGTTTTTTTTTTTAAATGCCAATCAGTTCATGTCACTCTCCAGCTTAAAGAATTTCTTCTAGCTTAAGGACTTCTTCCCAGCTAAATCTGTGGAGTTTACCATGCCTTATAAAATCCTACATGATCCAGTCCCTGCCTAATTCTTTGATACTATCTCCCCTCCACTCTACCCCTGATAAACATTAGGTGCTCAATATTAACAACAACTATAGGTAACATTTGTTGGGTATTTATAGTGTGCTCAGTATGCTAACTAGTTGCAAAAAGTAGTTCATTTAATGCTATAAACAGTGATCCTTAGCATTTTCTGGGTAAGTCATATCTTTGGAAATCTGAAAAAAAAAAAAACCCTATAGACTCACTCATCTCCTACAAGGAAGACCAGTTAACATATTGATTATTATTCAAATTTACGCACCAACCACTAATGTCAAAGATGAAGAAACTAAAGATTTTCACCAATTTCTGTAGGCTGAGATTAATCAAACATGCAATCAAGATGCACTGGTAATTAATGGTGATTGGAATGTAAAAGTTGGAAAAGAAAAAGAAGGATCAGTAGTTGGAAAATATGGCCTTGGTGATAGAAACGACTCTGGAGTTCGCATGAGAGAATTTTGCAAGACCAGCGACTTATTCATTGCAAATATCTGTTTTCACCAACATAAACAGCGACTATACATGTGAACCTCGCCACATGGAATACACAGGAATCAAATCGACCACGTGGAAAGGGACACTGGAGAAGCTCATTATCACTCAGAACAAGGCCAGGTGCCAACTGCAGAATAGACCATCAAGAGCTCATATGCGAGTCCAAGCTGAAGACAAAGAAAATTAAAACAAGTCCATGAGAGCCTAAGTATGACCTTGAGTATATCCCACCTGAGTTTAGAGACCATCTCAAAAACAAATTTGACACACTGAACACTGTCATGGATTGAATTGTGTCCCCCAAAAACATCTGTATCAATTGGCTACGTCATGATTCCCAGCATTGTGTGATTGTCCACCATTTTGTCATCTGACATGATCTTCCTATGTGTTGTAAATACTATCTCTATGATGGTGATGAGATAGGATTAGTGGCAGTTATGCTAATGAGGCAGGACTCAATCTATAAGATTAGATTATGTCTTGAGCCAATCTCTTTTGAGATATAAAAGAGAGAAGCAAGCAGAGAGACATGGGGACTTCATACCACCAAGAAAGCAGGGCCAGGAGCAGAGCATGTCCTTTGGACCCAAGGTTCCTATGCAGAGAAGCTTATAGACCGGGGGAAGGTTGATGACAAGGACCTTCCTCCAGAGCCGACAGAAAGAGAAAGCCTTTGCCTGAAGCTTGCACCCTGAATTCGGACTTCTGGCCTACTAGACAGTGAGAGAATAAAAATCTGTTTATTAAAATCATCCACTTGTGGTATTTCTGTTATAGCAGCACTAGGTAACTAAGACAAACGCTAATGACCGAAGATCAGATGAGTTGTGAGATAACATCAAGGACACCATACATGAAGAAAGCAAACGGTCATTAAGAAGACAGGAAGGAAAGAAAAGACCAAAATAAATGTCAGAAAAGACTCTGAAACTTGCTCTTGAATGTAGAGTAGCTAAAGTGAATAGCAGAAATGATGAAGCAAGAGTTGAACAGACGATTTCAAAGGGTGGCTCGAGAAGACAAAGTAAAGCCTTATAAAGAAATGTGCAAAGACCTGGTGTTAGAAAACCAAAAGGGAAGAATATATTTGGCATTTCTCAAGCTAAAAGAACTGAAGAAAAAACTCAAGCCTTGAGTTGCAATACTGAAGATTCTATGGGCAAAAGGGAGCCCTGGTGGCATGGTGGTTAAGAGCTTGGCTGCTAACCAAAAGGTTGGCAGTTCAAATACACCAGCCACTCCTTGGAAACTCAATGGGGCAGTTCTACTCTGTCCTATAGGGTCATTACGAGTCAGAATCAACTTGACAGCAACGGGTTTAGTTTTGGTTTTATGGGTAAATTATTGAACAACACAGAAAGCATCAAAAGAAGATGGAAAGAATACACAGTCACTGTATCAAAAAGAATTGATTGACGTTCAATCATTTCAGGAGGTAGTATATGATCAAGAATAGATGGTACTAAAGGAAGAAGTTCAAGCTGCATTGAAGGCACTGACAAAAAAAAAATGCTCTAGGAATTGACAGAACACCAACTGAGATGTTTCAACAAACAGATGCAATGCTGGATGTGCTCACTCATCCATGCCAACAAATTTGGAAAACAACTGCCTGGCCAACTGACTGGAAGAGATCCACATTCACGTCCATTCCAAAGAAAGGTAACCCTAGAGCTGGGGCAACATGGTGCTATAGTCAGAAGCACCATGCCGTTCCTCCACAGCAAAGATCCAAAAAACTAAGTCAAACAGATTCACACATCAATCTTGAAACCCTAAGCATTAAATGAAGAGATAAAGAACTCAGCCAAGCACCGAATGGAATAAGAAACTGACTTAGAACCGATTGTGAGGAGAGATACATGCAGAGGTCCCCTATCAGCTACCGCAGCATGGATCCACCATCTTGGACTACACCAGATGACCTTCCAGTAGAAGAAAAGGCACTAGAACTGCCTGATAGGGAATTCAAATCTCTAAAACTCAGAATTATCCAAGAGCTGAAGCAAAAAGCAGACAAAGAAGGGTGACCCAACAGAATGGGAAAATTATCAAACAACATCATTAATATCACACATAAGTAAAATTTTACAGAAGATAACTCAAAAATGGTTGCAGGAGTACACTGACAGGGAACTGCCAGAAATTCAAGCCAGATTCAGAAGAGGGCATGGAATAAGGTTATCCTTGCTGATGTCAGATGGATCTTGGCTGAAAGCAGAGAATACCAGGAAGGTCTTTACCTATGTTTTATTGATTATGCAAAGGCATTCGACTGTGTAGATCATAACAAATTATGGATACCAATGGGAAGAATAGGAATTCCAGAGCACTTAACTGTTCATTCAGAACCTAGACCATAAAATATAGGCAGTTGTCTGAACAGAACAAGGCGATACTGTGTGGTTTAAAATCAGGAAAGGTGTGTGTCAGGGTTGTATCCTTTCGCCATATTTATTCAATCTGTATGCTGAGCAAAGAATCTGAGAAGCTAGACTATATGAAGAAAGTGGCATCAGGATTGGAGGAAGACTCATTCACAACCTGTGATATGCAGATGACAGAACCTGGTTTGCTGAATGTAAAGAGGACTTGAAGCACTTACTGATGAAGATCAAAGACCACAGCCTTCAGTATGGATTACACCTCAACGTAAAGAAAAGAAAAATCCTCACAAATGGACCAATAAGCAACATCATGATAAACGGAGACAAGATTGACATTGTCAAGGATTTCATTTTATGTGGATCCACAATCAACTCCCATGAGGCAGCAGTCAAGAAATCAAACGATGTCTTGCATTGGGCAAATCTGCTGCAAAAGACCTCTTTAAAGTGTTGAAAAGCAAAGATGTCGCTTTCAGGACAAAGGTGCGCACCTGACCCAAGCCATGGTATTTTCAATCACCTCATATGCATGATTGTGAGGATGGTGCAGGACCTGGGAGTGCTTTGTTCTGTTGTACATATGGTCGGAACCTACTCGACAACACCTAACATATGTATGTTAAAGCTGGACAATGACTAAGGAAGACTAAAGAATGGATGCATTTGAATTATGGTGTTGGTGACAATACCACGGACTGCCAGAAGAACAAACAAATCTGTCTTGGAAGAAGTACAGCCAGAATGCTTCTTAGAAGCAAGGATGGAGAGACTTCGTCTCACATAGTCTGGACATGTTATCAGGAGAGACCTGTTCCTGGAGAAGGACATCAGGCTTGGTAAAGTTGAGGGTTAGTGAAAAAGAGGAAGACCCTCAAGGAGATAGACTGACACAGTAGCTGCAACAATGGGCTCAAAAATAGCAATGACTGTGAGAATGGCATAGGACTGGCGGTGTTTTGTTCTATTGTACATAGTGTCGCTATGAGTCGAAACCAACTTGATGGCACCTAACAACAACATACGTATGTATATACACACATACACACACACATAAAATTTTTCAACATGTACTTTTCTCTAAACCAAATATTTTCAGGGAATTTCTGATGGTATTCTAACTGGTAAAGAACTCAACTGTAATGAATGGCCTTAACTAAAGCATACAGAAGTGGTTTTAAAAAAAAAAAAAAAAGCTGTGTGTAACACAAAATGCTAACTTTCAAGTTCCCAAAACTGTTATTAATGGGAAGGTCAACCACAATAAAAATAAACTTATTGGTGGTGGGTTCCAATAATCAAAGGTGGCTTTATGACACCACAATCTGTGGCATTACTCAGACTCTGCTGTGACTCTTATTTTCATAATAAGTAATTAAATGGCTTTATTTGGATTTCAATTTTCTTTTCAAAGACTCAGCAAATTTATCATTTAAAAAGACAAAAGATTAAACAGAACAAACTTATTTTCAAATCAACATTATCTGAATTAAATTTTAAAGACAGAGACAGGTGGAGCACTAAAAATAGAAACGAGAGAGCTAGGCAGTTGGATATTTTAGATGCGATGCTTATTTAGAAGCAGACTTTAACTTCAAAGTGCTCAACTTGATTCTGTAAGATTAAAAAGAAGAGTGGAAAAAGGCGGAATTCTGTAAGAAATCAGAATGGAAACTTTTAAAAATCAAGTAACCACAGAGATGACTAGATGACCAAAGGAAAAAAAAATATTTCAAATACTCTTCTCAGCCTAAGAAGGAAAAAAATTGAGAGAAGATAGGGAAAAATCAAACATGGGACACAGCTCTAGAATCTCCAAAACTCATAAAAACAAAATAATAATAAACTAAAAATTTTAATAGCAATTATCTCTACTTCTATCACTTGGCTGACTTTTTAAATGCCTCTTCTTTCTGGGAAGAGAAAGACATTTTAGCAAAAGCGCATCCAGGCAAGAGAATTTCTTCTGACTCGTAATTTCTTATACAATATGTACCTGTGCTCAAAAACTTAAAGACTTTCCACCAGGTAATGTATTATTTATGCATACATCTAATCATTCTTTCAATAAATATCAATTGAAGGCTTACTGATTGCCAAGCACTGTGCTAAAAACCCTGGGCTACAACTGTGAATAAAATTGAGTTGACATTTATAATCCAGCGGGAGAGGGGCACATTAACCGAGTTACCACGCTGACAGTGAAGGATAAAGTATACTGAGCGTGAATAATGGTGGAGAGGCAACTCTAGATACTGCGGTCTGGGAAAGCCTCTCTGGGAAGCGACATCTACGATGACCCCTGAAACTGAAAAAATGTTTACATGTTTCATTTATCTTTTTGTCTCCCAAAGTACCTAGCATTGTGCCTTTCATATTGTAGGTACCAGATATACTCTCTCCTGGCCTCAATTTTCTCATTTCTGAAATCATGAACTTTCAAGATTCCTTCCACACAATGTGTTTGTGCTAGAGGGAAAATTTACATCTCAATGAAATCGGCGGTAGAAGCAAAAATGAAGTGAGTTAAAATCTCTGCAAGAACGTGAGTTTATGTTAATGGAGGGGGGACAATTCGGAAAAGGAGGGTGAGAATGGTTGCACAACTGAATTGCCCGTGGAGAAACTGCTGAATTAGTGCATGGTTTGCTGCGTATATTTTCAACAACTGTAACAACACAAATCACTGCAAGATCCTAACTCTCTAAAGCAGAACCAACGCAAAAGCATGTGGGTATACCAAAACCACATAATTGCTACCTGAGATGACCTGTATCTTAGACAACACATAAGCAAAAACAACTGTTCATTAACTTGGCGTGAGGAAATACAGCAGAAGCAAGAGAGGCTGCGACGTGAGCAAGACCACACCAAACAGCTCAGTTCACATTCTCAGGACTTTAATGGCGAGGGGCCAAGAAGGTCGCCTGCTTTTCTTGCTACCGGGGCAACTGTCCCAATCTGAGGGAACGGAAGAGAATCACGTTTCTCTTGCGGCTCAGTCCCGGGATGAGGTCAGCTACCAACTCCAGCTACGGCTTCAAGAATCGTTCGGGAAGCTCAATGAGAAGAGAACTGACCCTTCAATGGGGCGCCCCGAGAAAGAGAAATCCACAGTAGAAAGCACCTCTCCTCCTCGGCTCTCAGCCTCACCCAAAAAGAGCTAAGGGAGGACCAGGGCGACCCCGCCCTTTTGCCCGAACCGAGTCCCTCGCAGGTGCCCTCCTCCACCAGCCTGGTACACAGCGGGGGAACTGGCACCTCCGGAGCCTCTGTGAAGAACCCGTGAGCTGAAGGGACGCATCCCAAGGAAAAGAAGTGGAAAGGAAAAGAGAGGGGCCCAAGAAAAGAGAGGGGCTTTAGGAAAGGAGGGGAAGACGGAAAGTGCAAGTTCTCAGAAGCAAATGAGGTAGCAGGCGAAGAATCTAAGCCGGCTCTTACCGTCTATGGGAGACGCCATCTTCCAACCCATGTCACGTGACGTGGCCAACCGTCGGCGGGAAAGCAGGAATCCATAAGCCCCGCCCCCAAAGGGGAACCCTATCCCCAACTCTCAGCCCGGTCTTGTTTCCCCGCCCCATAGGGCAATCTTTGCCTAGCTCCGCCCCCTAGTTCTAGCCACGCCCCCTAGCGCAGTTGTTGAGGTGGGGCGACTGCGAAATTCTTGGAAGGTCTTATTTACCTTCCTCAGTAAGTGGGTGGGACCGTGGTCGTGCCTGTGGCCAATCGGGGTTCCGGATTAGGGGGCGTCTTCCCGTGTGTTCAATATAGAGTACCCAAGTCAGGGGCGTCTTCCCTCCATCCGCCAACAGAATTCGCTGAGGTGGGAGGGGAGGAGAGCGCTTTCGCTTCTGACCAATCGCATATCCCCCGGACTGGCGTGGGGGGGAGGAGTCAGGTATTAGGGCGAGTGATTGGCTAAGGGAAATGGTGCTCTCTGCAAATAAGGAAGGTCCGGCAAGATGGAGGGGCGGGGCCTGGCAGCGGCCGCGCTTCTGGGGGCCTCACAAGCTGTAGTGGCGAAGAGGCGGCGGGGCGCCATGGCGGCGGTGATAGCGGCGGCGGTGGTGCGGGCCCGGATCCTGCAGGCGAGTGAGGGTGGCGCCGAGGAATCGCGAAGCTAAAGATTGGATCCTTTCGGTCCATTCTCTAAGCCAACCTCGGGTGGGACGGCTTCCTGGCCCATCCCCCTCTTGACCGACCCTGGAGTTCACACCCGACCCTTGCGGCCCTTTTCTCCACACTCCTCGCTCAGTACCCTCCTTCGTCCCAGATCCAGCCCTGGACCATCACCTCTGGTCTTCTGCCCGTTTACAGCTGAGCCTCCGCTTCTCTGGCTCCGGCCCTCTCTCCTCCTCCAGCCCCGCACCTTCCTGCCTTCACTCTTGCTCTCACCCCTCTCGGTGCGACCACCACGTCTTTGCCTTTCCTCTCCGCCACAGGCACCTCTCCCTTCCAAGAAACTTCCCTTTCTGTTCACCTTTCTTAGAGCGCTTTCACCTGCCAGCAGTGTCCAGATTTCTTCCTTCCCCTACCCTGCTTCACGCTCCTTAATCCGAAGTAAGGGAGGAGGGGGCGCGCGAGGGGCGAGGGTCACTGAATGAACTTTGAATCTCTTTCTAGAAGTGTATACTAGGTTTTCGCCAAAGCCAGACATTTGCTGAGTTATTCTCCCCACTATGGTATTTTCCACAGGCTGTGGGCTGTCCCCTTTCTTGCCAAGGCTTTGAGTGAAACTTTCAGCGAAGTTACAGTTTTCACGTTGAAGGAAAATAAGGGCACATAGTTATGCTACCAGGATGTTCCACGTACATTGAAGGGACTAAAAAGCTCTTAAAACAGCGTGGTAAAAATAGGAGTCAAGGAAGACAAGAAGTGTAAGTTTCAAGTTGTCTCCCCAAAGTCAGCTCAAAGAGTGCCAACACACCACATCCTCAACTCCACACGTGGGAAGTGGATCCTCTCTGAAGCAAGCCTAAGAAGAGATGGTAGAGCTGCAGTCCTGAAGCTGGTGATCTCCAGCTCTGTCCATAGCTTTCCCCCTGTTGTTCACAGCCTAGTGGGACTTAAAATATGAGCAAGATTTACTGCAGGCAAGATTCTCAAACCTACAAGAAACATTGCCCTCATAACTCATTATATTCAGCCTGGGAACTTCCTCTATATTGCTGGATTTTTAGGTATTTACCAGGTTTCAGTGAATTATACTGTACAAACTTGTGCATTTTTGAGATTTTTGATAGAATCAGCAAAGGCTCATGTTTAAATGTGCTCTTTACGGTGACATGGTGGAGAGTGGGTTGCAGGGATTTGTCAGGTGGTCTGGCTCCACTCATATATTTCTTGATGTGATATTCTTTTTCCTAATATCTTTGTTTGGAGCCCTGGTGGTGCAGTGGTTAATAGCTCAGCTGCTAACCAAAAGGTCAGCAGTTCGAATATACCAGCTGATTCTTGGAAACCCTATGGGGCAGTTCTACTCTGTCCTGTAGTGTTGCTATGAGTTGAAATCAACTTGAGGGCAATGGGTTTGGGTTTGTTTTTTGGGGCAGTATCTTTTTTTAGTAGTAGAGAAACAAAGTTCCCACCCTATATTTTCCACTACCAACCCCACCTTGAAATCTTTTCCTGAAATTGGCTTTTTTCCTTTGCCACCTCTCCATCACAGTGAGTCACTGAGAGCCTCAAGTAGGTATTTTGTCCTTTGCATCAAGAAGATTCTACCTACCTATATACTGTATTTCAGAAACAGACACTACTTTTTGATTGATTTGGAGAAACTTCTGAAATGACCTGGAAAATAAAAGAATAGAAATAGTAATCCTTTGCAAGTAGGAGTTGCTATATCATGAAACTTTGATAAAGAATAGTCCAGATTCTGGAAGCCATGAATGTTAGACGACTATTAAAAGGATCTGTGAAGGAGAGAGTTCATGTTTTCAGTTACTTTAAGTATTCAGTTTATCTTCTTTGTTAAGATGGCTGGTAAAATTTACCTAGAACCTGTGCTTCTTGAGATATTATCACTCCCACACAGAGATAAGAAAACCAGTCTTAAAGTGACTGAATGATTTGCCTTAGTGATATGGTAGAAAGAACACAGCTTCACAGTCATACTGTGGAGTATAGTCATACTATCCCAGCTCTACCACTTTCCAGGTAACTAAGGATTAGAATTAATAAATATACTAAGTAAATTACCTGACACAATCACTCAGAGTCACCTGACTTGTTACTGATTGAGTTGAGAATTCAGGACTTAAATCTTGGTAGCTCTTTCTGTATTAGACACTGTCTTAGGCTTTAGGAAAGGAGAGGTAAGTAAAATACTCACTGAAAGCTCCCGTACTGTAATGCAATAAGTGTGAAAAATAGGGGTGCTAAGGGTGGTACAGGAACATAGAGAAAGAGCCCCAAACTCAATCTGGACAATTCTGGAAAAGCTTTCAAAAGGGGTTGGCTCTGGGGCTGAGTCTTGCAAGACTAGTAGGCTTTTAGCCAAGGAGAGAAGGGAGTTCCTGATAAAGGAAATACCAAGCATGAAATAAACATCTAGACAGCAAAAAGTTTGATGCAACTGGGCATAGGATAGTTTCTTCAGCAACAGGGCTAATGAGTGTTTCTCGGGAAATGAAGAAAAGATAGGCAATCTAACCTGTCAAAAACTCTATAATTGTGTTCTGTTACACCAGATGCAGTGCCTTTTATGCCCTCTTGACAGCAGGGAGGTTGTGTGTAAGTGAAAAAATAAAACTAAGTGTAGAATGCTCAGGTTTGCTCATCAGTGTACAGTCATGCACTGCATAATATCCATTCGGGCAACATCCAACCACATATATATCTATGGTCCCATTGGTTATAATAGAGTTATATACAGGCAGTCCAGGTTACAAACAAGATCCGTTCCTAAGTCTGTCTTTAAGTCGAGTTTGTAGGTAAGTTGAAACAGGTACATCTGGTTCTTATTTAGCATCAGTTAGTCAAATGTTTGTCTTAGTATATAGCATATATTTTACCTTCCTTTGTATATAAAGGAGCCCTGGTGGCATAGTGGTTCAGCATCCGGCTGCTAACCAAAAGGTTGGCAATTCATTCGGCTGTTGAAATCCACCAGCCACTCCTTGGGAACCCTATGGGGAAGTTCTACTCTGTCTTATAGGGTCGCTATGAGTCAGAATCGACTTAATGGCAATGGGTTATGCATATAAAACACTTAAACGCTTCCAAACCATGCAGTGTTTTCATGAGCATCACAAAGTAGTGCATGCGTTCATTATTATGAACCATTATGTTTAACTCAAATTTTTAATATAACAGGCTTTATGGCAGTCCGTTTTTAAGTATGCGTTGTCCATAAGTCAGTCATTGGTAACTCAGGGACTGTTTGTGATACAGTGTTCGCACAATGTCCAAATCACATAACATCCTATTTCACAGAATGTATCGTGGACGTTAAGTGATGCATGACTGTATTTTCTGCCTTATAAGAGAGTGAAGCAAAATTAATATCAAAAGATTGCTTGATGAGGACTCACCTTTTCACTTCACAAAATATTAATGAGTGCTTACTCTATTCCAGGAACTGTGCCAAGTGCTGAGGACACAACGGTGTAGTGGTCAAAGGGGAGAGAGACATATAATTAAACAAGCTATTATTCCACAGTGTGGTATGAGCAATAGATGAATTCAGGGTGTTTTGTGAACTCCACAGTTAAGTGCTTAGCTCAGACCTGAGGTTGAGACTTCCTGTAGAAAGTGATGGCTAAATGGGAACCTGAAGGATTAGGAGTGAGCCAAGCAAGTGGGATGAAATAATCCCAGGTAGAAGGAGCAGCATGTGCAAAAGCAGTGAGAGCACAAAGCATGTGCAGAGTGGCTAGAGCATAGAGAGCAAGGAGGAAAGTGGCAAACTATGAAAATGAAGAAGATGGGGTCTTATAAGTATTATTGAGGAGATTAGTCTTTATCCTAAGGATAGTGGGAAACGATTGCAGGGTTTTAAACAGGGGAGTGATCTAATCAGATTTCTGTTTTATCAAGCCTCTCTGCCTAGATTCAGAAGGTTTAAGATTGGAGGCTGGGAGTCCTGTTAGGAAGTCCCAGGTGAGAGACAGTGATAGGATGGACTGGGATAATGACAGGAGGGCCACACAGAGGAGGGTGTGTTCCAAAGATATCTAGGAGGACAGATTGCCAGGACTTGCTGTTTCATTTGCTGTGGGGAGAGAAGGAGGAGTTGGGATGACATCCAGGTTTCTGTTTGGGCCACTAGATGAATAGTGGCCCCATTCACTGAAAGGTAGACAGGTTGGTGGGAAGAAGATGAAAAGCTGAGCTTTTTGCCAAGTGCCTATGGAACATCCAGGTAGAGATGTGAAGGCAATTTGTTACATGGGCATTACCTGAAAAGAAAGATTCCAGCTAAGGACTACATCATGAGGGCATCATTGGAGATCTAGATAATTAAGCCATAGGAGTAGATGAAATCACCCAGCAAAAGATGTAGAATGAGAAGAAGGTCTAGGATGAAGCCTTGAAGCGTTCAAACAGTTAATGGCCATATAGAGGAGGATGAGCTAGCAAAGAGGCTGAGAAAAAATGGCCAAAGATAGGAGAGATACAGGGCATCACAGAAGACAAGTGAAAAGGGGGGGTTCAAGAAGGAGGGCATGATTAAGCATGTCACCTCTTCTGAGAGGTCAAATCCAAGGAGGACTGGGAAGGGTCCATAGAAGTCATTGATGTTCAGTCATGAAGGCTGCAGTAGACTGAAGAGTGAGTAGGAGATGAGGAAATAAAGATAATTAGTGTAGAGAACCCTTTCAAGAAGTTTAGCTGTTAAGGACAGTGGAGGGGAGCATGGGTTTGGGGAAGAAATTTTTTTTTTTTTTTTTAGTGCATATATGCTAATAAAGGAGCTATGGGATGGGGAGAAATTTAAGGAACGAGAGAGAGGGTAATTGATGGAAGTGTCTGAGACAGCAGGAAGGAATGGCTTCAGAGCACAGGTGCAGAGATTAGCCTTAAAGGACAGACACTTACGCATTCAGTCCACCAATATTCATTGTGCACCTCTGTGTTCCAGTCACTTTGCCATCATGGAGCTTGCTAGATACCTTCTCCATTATAAGAGGAGGGAAAGAGGAGAGGTGGTGGGGGTGGATATCGGTGCAGGTCAGTTTCGTAGGTCTGCTATTAGGAAGTTGAGGGAGTTCTCATCTGATGGTTTCTGTTTTCTCTGAAGAGGGAAAAACCAGTTCAGCTCCTGAGAGTGAGGGGAAGTAGCAGAGTTGGAAGTTTTAAGAGAATTGATAAGTTTTGAAACAGCAAGGAGAGCAAATAGTAAGTATTCATTATAATAATAGCATTTAATAAGCACCAACTATGTGCTAGCTGCTTTCCTTCATGGATAATCTTGATCTCAGTTAACTCTGTAAGGTAGGTGAACAAGATAGATGGAAGGCCTACCCTCATAGAAGTTACAATCTTTTTCGGTAACAGGCAAGTACCCAGGCAATTAACAACACAGATAAACTGATAGGGGAAGTATAAGCTGCTATGGGAATACAAAAAAGGGACACCTAACCTGGGCCAGGGTGGGGGCCAGTCTGGCAATATAGCTGCCCAGTGGACCTTTCTTTTGTTCAGTAGATATTTATTGAACACCACTAGGTACTACAGAGCCCTGGTTGCACAGTGGTTAAGAGCTTAGCTGCTAACCAAAAGGTCAGCAGTTTGAATCCACCAGCCGCTCCTTGGAAACCCCATGGGGCAGTTCTACTCTGTCCTGTAGGGTCACTATGAGTTGGAATCGACTCAACGGCAACAGGTATGTACTACAAGTATTGTGTTGGTATTAGGAACATGGCTGTAAATAAGACATGGTGGATTCCAGGAGAGGGTTGATAATTTGAAATCGCTTTTGTGGGGAATGGGGAGGAAGCAGATTAGGCATTTAAAAGGATTGTCTGCTGGTCCAAGGACCAGTACCCCTTCTTCTGGACAGTGCTGGAGGCACACAAACAAATTCTTAACACTTCATGCAGTACTAAACCCTTTACACAATTAACACAGTCTGTGTTAATACAGTCTCCCTTCAGATAAGCATCTTTCTTTTACATCCCAGTTTTGAGTGTTTGGGAGTCCCTGGTGATGCAAACGGTTAATGCACTTGGTTGCTAACAGAAAGGTTGGCGGTTCGAGTCCACCCTGAGGTGTGTTGAAACAAAGTCCTGGTGATCTACTTCCAAAAAATTAGCCGTTGAAAACCCTATGGAGCACAATTGTACTCTGACATACATGGGGATACCATGAGTCAGACTACTCAAAGCAACTGGTTCAACTGGTTTCTGAGTATTTCACTTTGATTAGACTTGAATATTTCTAAAATATCACTTCCATAACATATATACAAACCATTTTTTTAGAGTGTTACAGTTTGAGAGTTACCTTATTATAACTGACCTCCCCTCCCATTTACCAACTATACCCTATCAAATATTACCTATAAGAAACATTGTTTTTCCTGTAAGGTATATGTGTAATTTTTTAACAGCTTTGTTGGAATATAATTGACATAAAATAAACTATACACATATTTAAAGTGTACAATTTGATATGTTTTAACATTTGTATCTATCTGTGAAAACATCATCACAATCAAGACAGTGAACGTATCCATCACCCCAAAAGTTTCCCTCCCATTCCCTCCTCATCACCTTCCCCACCACCTACAGGCAACCACTGATCTGCTTTCTGACACTATAGAGTAGTCTGCATTTTCTAGTTTTATATAAATAGAATAAAAAAGTAAGTGCTCCTTTTATGACTGACTTCTTTCAGCATAATTATTCTAAGATTCATCTGTGTTGTTGCATATATCAATAGTTCATTTCTTTTTATTGCTAAGTAGTATTCCATTGTATGTATATACCACAATTAATTTCCCCATTCACTCATTCAGTGGTGGGCATTTAGATTGTTTCCAAAGTTTGAGCTATTACAGATCAAGCTACTGTGAACATTCGTGTTCAAGTATATGTATTAGCATATTATACCTTACATTTGACACTTGCTTATATACTACCTTATATTCAAAACCTATTGTGTTACATACCATGATAAGTGTTTTCATATTGTTAAATTTATGGTGACTACATTTTCTAAATCAAAAAATAGGAAAATACGGTCTGATGACCATATTTTTTAAATTAGGACTGTCCTAGAAATTGAGGACAGTTATCACTATGGTTTAAAGAGGCTGGGTGGCACAAGCGGTTTGTGATCGGCTGCTAACCCAAAGGATGGCGGAACCCACCCAGCAGCTCCACACAAGAAAAGGCCTGGTGAACTTCTTCCATGAAAGTTGTTGCTGTCGAGTCGATTCTGACTCATGATGACCCCATGTTTGCAGAGCAGAACTGCTCCACAGGGTTTTCAAGGCTATGACCTTTCGGAAGCAGATCACTAGGCCTGTCTTCCGAGGTGTCTCTGGGTAGGCTCACACCCCAACTTTTTGGTTAGTAGTCAAACACTTAACCATTTGCACCAGCCAAGAAAACCCTATGGAGCAGTTCTACTCTGCAAACATGGGGTCATCATGAATCCGGGGCTAACTCAATGGCAGCTAACAACAATCACTATGGTTTATTGTTCTCTTTAAGACTATATAGCCCTTGAAAGCAAACACCAAATCCTTTCTCATATATCCACAGTAACTAGTATAAGTCTATAGTAGCCATTCACTAAGTTTTTAATAATTTTATCTTCTCATTTATCAAAATAATCATTCTTTTACCTCATAGGTTTCTTCCAGGGTGAACTCTACCAGGTATCCATCATCCTCCTTCTCTTCCTCTTCAGTGGTGAGTTTATTTGACACTAAAGGTTGACTTCTGAGAAGGAACCCAATATATAGCTTTTTCCTTCTTTTGAATTACTTCCTTTCTGAAATAAGATTACTGTGTCAAAAGATACAAACATTTTCATAGCTTCTAGAGGTTTTGTTGATTCTGCCAAATAGTTGTCTTCTTAACAATCTTTAGAGTTGTTTTTATAGACTATCTGTAAGCCATTGGCAGTACTCAAAATCTGTTAAATAAGGACTGAGGAAAATATCCTTTCTATATGGAAGCATGCACCACTGTAACACAAATGGTTCACAGACCCATTTGAAAATTGAATGAAAGCAAGCTACTTCTTCTCAGAAAAATATACACAGATAGAAACATTTTTAAAAATCTTTTGATCATAAAGGTAATATATGCTCATGGCAATATGACAGAAGATCAGTTGGGTCAAAAAGTCATAAGAGCTGATCTTTGCTAACATAAAGTCTGCTGCTCTTTTAGTATAAGCTTCACAATGATGTGTGCTTAGTTTATTTGTTGATAGTAATTAAATTCCACTGTGTGATTAGCAGAGAATTTCCCATTCTCAGAGAGATCACAGTATTGAGAGGTTCTGTGACATCTTAAGGGGAGCCCTTGGGGTGCTCGGCTGCGAACCAAAAGGTCAATGGTTTGAACCCAGCAGCCACTCTATGGGAGAAAGCTGTGGCAGTCTGCTTCTGTAAAGATTTACAGACTTGGAAACCCTATGGGGCAGTTCTGCTTTGTCCTTTAGGGTCACTATGAGTTGGAATTGACTTGATGGCAGTGGGTTTGGGTTTGGGCTACATCTTAATATGCACTATAGCCAAATATGTTGTGTATCTCTTTCCTAACCATAACATTTCTAGAGAGCAGAAGATTCAGGTATCCTAATTCCTTCCTCTTTGTGAAAGGGAAAAGCGTAAGCAAAACAATGAACTAATACAAAATTTTCTGTTTTGTTTTGTTTTTCAGTCGACTGTAAAGCTCTTCATCAATGGAAAATTTGTTGAATCCGGAAGTGACAAATGGATTGACATCCACAACCCAGTAAGCAAAGCTGCTTTGGGACTTAAACTGACTTGCCTAGAATTCTGGGATTATGGTGGGAAAGTGGGGACTTGGGTGTCTAGCATGAAGTATATCATGCTATCTCTGACTGGCCGGAAAATGGAGAAGGTGGTACAGGAGCAAAGTATGATGTGCTTCTTTTTCTCATCAGGCCACCAATGAGGTAATTGGTCGAGTCCCTCAAACCACCAAGGCTGAAATGGATGCAGCCATTGCTTCCTGCAAACATACTTTTCCGGCATGGGCAGACACTTCAGTATTAAGCCGTCAGCAGGTCCTGCTCCGCTATCAACAACTTATTAAAGAAAACTTGGTAAAAAATTTGAATGATATAATTTTCCAAATTGGTGCCTAGGGGATACCTGTTACTCCCACAGAAGCCCTTTTAGTTGCCTTTCCCTAACTACCATGCAGAGTCAAAAATTCTACAATATAGAGAGACATTGATCATTACTCTCTCCCCAGTGCTGCTTTTCCCCAAGTTTTGTTCTCCTTTGGCTACCTGATAACTAAAAGGAGGCACAGTCTTGCATTAGTTTCTATTTGTGTGTTTTCTCTCTAGAAAGAAATTGCCAAGTTAATCACTTTGGAACAAGGGAAGACCCTAGCTGATGCCGAAGGAGATGTATTTCGAGGCCTTCGTAAGCTGAGAGTTCCTCAAGGGGGAGTTCAAGAACCTTTGGGAAAGAGCAAAGGAATATGGGAGGCAAAGATCTCAAAATGGGAGGTTGCTTCTTCCTTTATGTAAATACTGCTATCCCTTACATCTTCTTTAATACTTGTGAAAATTGGCAATACTCTCAGGTATCTGTAAGATTGATTTATACTTCATTCTTTATTTTACTCAGATGATCTCCTAGTAGGTATGTGTACTTTACTGTCTTTTTCCTATTTAGAGAATTTAATTTTATACAACCCCTTCACACGGAAGAACAAGTCAGTATTTCTTCCCTTGGTCATTGGCCTGAGCCCCCCTGCCTGAAGAGCTAGGTAGAGCCTGACAAAACTACACAGTATGTAGTTTGGAGAGCCAGTAGCCTGATTTCTTCTTCTCTGTTCTAGAGGTGGTTGAGCATGCCTGTAGTGTGACATCCCTCTTGCTGGGAGAGACCATGCCATCCATCACCAAAGATATGGACATTTATTCCTACCGTCTGCCTCTGGGGGTATGTGCAGGCATTGCTCCATTCAATTTTCCTGCCATGATCCCCCTTTGGATGTTTCCGATGGCCATGGTGTGTGGAAATACCTTCCTGATGAAACCATCAGAGCGAGTCCCTGGAGCAACTATGCTTCTTGCTAAGTTGTTCCAGGACTCTGGTGCCCCTGATGGAACACTGAATATCATCCACGGACAACATGAAGGTAACTGCCCTCCTGCATGTGGCTGTGAATCTGACTACTAAAAAATCAAGGTATTGAATGGTGATGGGGGTGTTTTAGGATGAGGAACCTATAGAGCAAGGGATTTACTAATAAGTAACCTCCATGTTCAAAGGTAATGTTTGTTGACTGTTTTGCCATCTCTGTGTGCCTAGATAACTGGGAAATAGCAGAACTTCTTGCCCAACAGTATACATTGGGAGACCAGAAATATGGATTGGGGCTAGACACAGATAAGATTAAAGAGAAAGCTTTCACTTTAATATTGACAGAATTCATGAGGATATTTAACTCTGAGAATTTGTAGACCTCAGAGAGACTGAAGGCCTTCTAATTCATATAATAATAGCTAATACTTAAAGAGTGCTTCTGTGTTTCAGGCACTGTTCCTAGTGCTTCTCATATATTATCTCATTTAATCTTTACAACAACCCTTGAGGGAGGTACAATTATTTTTCCATTTTACAAATGAGAAAATTAAGGCATAGTAAAATTAAGTAATTTGCTCAAAGTCATACTGCTAGAAATTGTCAAAGCCAGGCTGTGTGTACCCAAGAAGACTGACTCAGTTTTTGCTTTTAAACACTATGCTATTTTGCCTCTCACATTGAGGGTACAATAGTATCTTCAGAGCCTTTGCATATAAACGCATTTGAGGAAATACCACTTTTTTGTGTGTGTGTGCTTTAGATGGTTTACAGAGCAAATTAGTTTCTCATGACACAGTTAATACACATATTGTTTTGTGACATTGATTGCCAACCCCACAACATGTCAACACTCTCCCCTTCTCAACCTTGGGATCCCCATTACCAGCTTTCCTGTCCCCTCCTGCCTTCTTGTCCTTGCCCCTGGGCTGGTGTGCCTATTTAGTCTTGTTTTATGGGCCTGTCTAATCTTTGGCTGAAGGGTGAACCTCAGGAGTGACTTCAGTACTGAGCTAAAAGGGTGGCCAGAGGCCATACTCTAAAAGTTTCTCCAGGAAATATCACATTCTTAAAGGACAAAAAAGAAGGGCCAAGTAGTGAAAGGCTGTTATTTTGGAGGAAAATAAGATTTGTAGCCTGCAGAGTTAGATCAGAAGTCGAAATTCTGGGATACCAAATGAGAAAAATAATGAAGAGAAGGGGTAAATGGAATTTGTAATTTAAAGAATTTAAAAGAAGCAAATAAGGAGAGAACTTCAAATGAGAATCCAGGGTAGAAAAACAAAAATATGAACTTTTCTTATCACTAGTAGTGGGGAGAGGAACTTTGCCATGACGAGAAGCTTATAGTCATTTTTTCCTGTATAGTGATCATTTACTTTCTTCTTAAAGCTGTAAATTATATTTGTGATCATCCGGACATCAAAGCAATCAGCTTTGTGGGATCCAACCAGGCAGGAGAGTACATCTTCGAGAGAGGGTCAAGACATGGCAAGAGAGTTCAAGCCAATATGGTGACTTCTTATTTCTTTTTTCCCCAGTCTCTATTATATGTGCTCAGATTACCTAGAAATAACCCTTCAGCAGAGGGGCTACTCATCCCACTCTAATGTCAGTGTTTCTTAATTACCATTTCATTCTGAATGTCTTCCCTTGAACCTTGAACCTCGTAACCTTGAATGTAGTTATATTCTAAGTCACCTTATTCACCTGTACATGTACAACAAAGATAGGTAACAAAGACCACACTCCTGCCTAAGAATGTTTTAAAATTCTTTGGGCTTCAGTGGTAACAGCCAGATTCTAGTTCTGGGCCTTCTTCTTCCTGCCTGCCCCGTTCTTTCGTAGTGTGCTTCTAGCCCTTTATCTTTCCTTCTTTTAAGGCATATCCTAACCACTAAGATATGCTCTTCTCTGAGGGCCCAGGCTATTTAAGGCACTGGAAAGAACCAAATAGCCCAGTATAATATGTGAGTGTGGTTTACTTGGTTGCATAGCTCTGCTGTTCTCTTCTTAGTTCCTTGCCAAATTCGTAGCTAGCTCTTATTGGGCAGAATTCTTTGATACTAGTTGCAGCTTTCTCACCCTTTGGCTAATGGTACAGAAAGGACAGCCACCTGTGCACAGACTTGGAAACTTCATATGTTTTTCTTTCATGGCTGAATATGTTTTGGTCAATTTGACTTAAGCTCCTCCCAGTTCACTATATACTTAATTGTGTATGTTCTGTGTTCAACATTATGTGTAAGGGGATAAAGTAGAAGATATGGTATCTATCCATGCACTCAGCTATAGAGTTGTATATGGAAATGTGAATGTGGAAATGACCATATGCTGTATTACACAGAAAAGAAGTTTCTGAGGCTCTCTTTAGAAGCAAGCTAATTTGGTAACCTTTTTTTTAGAAATTATCAGGAGATCTTGCCTTGCAGCTAGCTACTGGCATTATTATTATTGGCATCTCTTTGTTTATATTGTTCTTCATATAACTGGAAATCAGCAGACAACAAATTCTTTCCTGTCTAATTCAGGAAAGAGAAGGAGTTCTTCTTGATTCTTGGATGCAATGTCTAGCCTGTTAGTTTGACTGATGTGATTGGGGCTTTTTTTGAGAGGGAGAGAGGAATGTTTTGATCTAAATAAATACATATCAGCTGACAAAGTGAAGAAAAAGTAAACTAAAAACTTAATGTTGCCAAGACTTCAGCAGTATTAAAAATGATAATCTGTCCTCAAAGCAACAGAGGATGAATTCTCTAGTCCTTTAATTCTCATTTGAAATCTCAGATTCTTTGCTTAATTTCTTAGCTTAATTGTATTTGGCCCAGGAAGACTCACATACACTCTGTGTTTCCTTAGGGAGCCAAGAACCATGGAGTAGTCATGCCAGATGCCAATAAGGAAAATACCTTGAACCAGCTGGTTGGGGCCGCATTTGGAGCTGCTGGTCAGCGCTGCATGGCTCTTTCGACAGCAATCCTTGTCGGAGAAGCCAAGAAGTGGCTGCCAGAACTAGTGGAGCGAGCCAAAAACCTGAGAGTCAATGCAGGTAATCAACCATCTGCCTAGCTCCTTTAGATTTTGCATCTGTGACATGAAACCCTTGGTTTTAGCATTGGCCTTGGTCAGTGGAAGCAATCATGTCTATTCGTCACATTGCTTCTCTTTATTCTGTCCTTGTCCTTTGGATTCATCATTTTAATAGCCATAATTTACGTTAATAAACACTTTAAATCCCTGTTGTTTTGCAGGCGACCAGCCTGGAGCTGATCTTGGCCCTCTGATTACTCCCCAGGCCAAAGAGCGAGTCTGTAATCTGATTGACAGTGGAACCAGGGAGGGAGCTTCCATCCTTCTTGATGGACGAAAAATTAAAGTCAAAGGCTATGAAAATGGCAACTTTGTTGGACCAACCATCATCTCAAATGTCAAGGTGAACAAGCAGACATAGTCATCTCATAGGCAACTTTTGACTATTTACTTTTCAAATATGAGAGCTAAAGACACCTTAGAGGCTATGTAATCTCTTTTGCCCAATTTATAGATGAAGACATTAAGGACCAGAGATTTCATTTCTTGCCAAGATTGTTTATCTGAAATCTGAATGAGTCTCCCCTCCCAACTCCCAACCAGAGCTCTTTTCACTATACCAGGAGTTGGCAAACTTTCTGTAAATATTTTCAGCTTTGCCAGGACATACACAGTTTATATCACAACTTCTACTTAACTCTGACATTGTACTGCAAAAGCGGCTATAAAAATGAGTGTGACAAAAAAAAATGAGGTGTGGCAGTGTTCCAATGAACCTGTATTTATGGACACTGAAATTCTGATTTCTTATACATTTTACATACATGTCTTAAAATAACTTTTATTTTCATCCACTTAAAAATGTAAAAACCATTCTTGGTTTGTGGGCTGTACCAAAACAGGCAACAAGCCACATTTGGTTCATGAGCTATAGTTTACCAACCCCTGCCCTTTACTATATTGGTTGCTTGCTTTGTTTAATGTCAATTCTTTCTTATCTCTCCCTTACTGTCTAGCTTATAGCTATTTCAGCATCTCAGTCAATAATGTCAACCACTCAGTATTTACAGAATGCTCACTCTGTGCCCAAAACTTTGCTGCATCTTCACCAAAAAGTGACAAAAGAAAAATAATTAATCTGTCCAATTTTATTTATCAAAACTCTGAAAGTCTTGAGAAGTTAAAATTAATGACTAAATAGATGTTAGGGGGCTTTTTTTGGAATTCATGTATCCCCACTAACCTATTATAATCCTGAATAATAATAAAGAGTGGAATGTTAGTAGAAATTATGATATCTCTTGCCGCAGAGGAAAAATCTACTCAGCAACAAACATAGCTGACTAGCTGTTGTGGTGAAGGATGTTTTGAATGTTTGTGACCCCATATCAAAATATAAATGTATAGACTCATTAAGGAGCCAAGGGGTGAATGAGAATGGATTGCTTATGTTACAGAAAACTTACCACAGGGTTTCTTTAAACAGAAGATATCTCCTGCTGTGTTTAACATATATTTGATTTATAAAAATGAATTTTCATGTAAATTTTCAGTAACAACTTGTATTAAACAAGTTGTAGGTGTTAGAGCTAGGGATGGGTCATGAGACCTAAAAGAACACTGCTTGAAGGAAAGGGGTGTGGTTACAGTTAATAGGAATTTCAAGTTATTTATATGATTGGGAGTTTGGAAGGTAGAACACAGAGAGAGAGAGGCCTTTTTTTATAGGTGGCTTAAGATTAAAAGAAATTGCTAACATTAATGCTGTTCATGTAAATGGTGGGTAATAAGTGAAAGTAACAAGTAAGCGTAGTATACTCAGAATCTAAAAAAAAAGCTTGCTGCTTTTCTGGATGCATCATTCTTGGCAGCCAAATATGACCTGTTACAAAGAGGAGATTTTTGGTCCGGTTCTTGTGGTTCTGGAGACAGACACACTGGATGAAGCCATCAAGATTGTAAATGACAACCCATATGGAAATGGAACTGCTATCTTCACCACCAATGGAGCCACTGCTCGGAAATATTCCCACCTGGTGGATGTTGGACAGGTTTGTGAACAGAATTGTAGGAGATTCTTATAGCCACTTCCTGTTTCCTGTCTGAGGAAGACAGTAAACAGTGATCAGTCACTGCAACTTGTTTAAAGATTGCCCCTCTAATCTCCCACAATGCCCCCTTTCTTCCTGAGGAATAAAAGTTCCTGGGGTGGAGGATGGGGTGGAAGGTAGGCATTTAAAAATGATCTCTCTGATGCCTTTTGCTTCTAATTGGAGAATTCCTTTCAGTTCTTTTCTTAGTATTTGCTGTGGATTTCTTCTGCTTTAGGTGGGTGTGAATGTCCCCATTCCAGTGCCTTTGCCAATGTTCTCATTCACTGGCTCTCGAGCTTCCTTCAGGGGAGACACCAATTTCTATGGCAAACAGGTAACTTTAAGTTTAAAAAAAATTTTTTCTCTAAGAAACTTTCTTAACATATTCAGGAGTAAAGATTCTGCAAAGAAAGCCCTGCCAGCAGCTTCTGTGAGGTCATACGTAGTTCAGCAATGTTGTCAGTAGGTCCCCTAGAAAAGATTTAAAAGTTAACAAGATATTGCCAAAGATGTTGCCAAAGCTGTTTCTTCCTGAGTAACTCACAAGGCAACATAGTTTTGGGTAAAGAGCAAAGTTTTGGAGAAAGAGCACAGGGAAGTCCAAGCTTTTGTATATGCCATTACCTCTGCCTGTGACCCGCCTCCCCGCTTTCATCTAATTCCTAGTCATCTGACATGTCTCAGTTTAAAGAATGAACTCCAAAAAATCATCCCTGACTACCACCACCCCTCCTTTCTCAATGCTTGGGTTGGGTATGCCTTCATGTGCTCCCATTGCACACATTTCTCCTGTAATAGTTATTTGTTTACAAAAAATTTTATTGAGTACCATCTTTGTACCAAACAGGCACTATGAGTACAGCACTGAACAAGAAAAACAAGGCAGATCTGAAGCCAAACTGCCTGCATTCACTTCCCAACTTGGCTAGTTAGTAGCTTTGTGACCTTGGGGAAATTATGTATCTTCTTTGTGCCTCAAGTTTCTTCATGTATAAAATAAACATAACGGTAGTACCTATATCTTATGATTTTATGAGGATTAAATTACCACTGTTATACTATATCCTTCAGCAGGTGCAGCTTTCCTAAGGCAGGAACAGCTTGGCATGTTCAAACAGAAAGGGGCTGGAGCACAGTGAGTGAGTGAGGGGGAGAGTGGCATGGGATGAGGTTGGAGAGGCAGGCAGGGGCCAAGTCATGCAGGGTTCTTTACACCATGGTAAGAAGCCCTTTATATTATAATTATTATTTACTTATCTGTAGTACCTAGCACAAAGCAGGTGCCCAAACATTTGTTGAACAAAGGAGCTAATGGAAGTTTTTTGTTGTCCCATAGAACAACAGCCATTTGGGAACTTTCCTTAATAAATTAAATGTTTTCTATACAAGTTTGTCCTTTTATAGATAAATAAAAAAATTAATAGTGGGATTACATAGCAGATATGATAGTCCAAGTGGTTAAGAAATCAACACTTGTTATTTAGAGGCTGATTATCCAATTTGTGCATTAGTCACGGTTTTTGCAAAATTGACTAGTTTAATACTGGTAATGAGTTTCTTTTAGGGGAAGCAGAGTAAAACTATTGCTTGAAATAGTTTTTTCTTCCTTTTTTCTCTCCTCTTTTGGTTTAATTACTGTAAGTTACTCTGGTAAACGAGGCTTCTTGGAAGAAAGGATTGACCTCATACAGTTTGAAGTCTTAAATCCTTAAGTAATTAAATTGCTACTTTGTATTCTGAAAAGAACACAAGGAATGATTCTTACATAATAGAATATAAAAGTTAGTTGTATCTTACATCAGAAGTATATAGCAGTCTCTAAAGTTGTTTTTAATATGTTCAAATGGTCCAGATTTTGTCAAATAATTCTGGAAGGATATTTTAATTAACCTGGTGTGTTTTTTCCTAAAACATCTTTCTAGCTTCCTAGTAATTTCTTGGTAAACTTATCAGTGTTTAGATCTGCATGATGTATTCTCTGTTGCTCCAGCCTATTCTCATAAAACAAACAACTTTAAAAAAATGTATATGTATATATATATATACATATATATATATATATATTTGAGGACTAAAGTGCACCTGACCCAAGCCATGGCATTTTCAATTGCCTCAAATGCATGGGAAATCTGGACAATGAATAAGGAAGACCAAAGAAGAACTGATGTATCTGAATTATGGTGTTGATGAAGAATATTGAATATACCACAGGCTGCCAGAGGAATGAACAAATCTGTGTTAGAAGAAGTACAATCAGAATGCTCCTTAGAAGGGAGGATGGCAAGACTTCGTCTCCCGTACTTTGGACATGTTATCAGGAGGGACCAGTCCCTGGAGAAGGACATCAGGCTTGGTAAAGTACAGGAACAATGAAAAAGAGGAAGACTCTGGACGAGATGGATTGACACAGTGGCTGCAACAATGGGCTTAAACACAACAACGATTGTAAGGATAGCGCAGGACTGGGCAGTGTTTTGTACTGGACTCAGCAGCACCTAACGACAATACATGTTGCCGTCAAGTCGATTCTGACTCATAGTGACTCTAAAGGACAGAGTAGAACTGCCCGATAGAGTTTCCAAGAAGTGTCTGGCAGATTTGAACTGCCGACCTTTTGGTTAGCAGCCGTAGCTCTTAACCACTGCGCCACCAGGGTTTCCAACAATGATAGACTAGATTGGATTAGATTAGATAGATAGGAAGGAAACCCTGTTACATATGTATGTACACATACATATATATACATATATATAAAACAAAACAAAACCTGTTGCCATCGAGTCGATTCTGACTCACAACAATACTACAGGACAGAGTAGAACTGCCCCATAGGGTTTCCAAGGAGCGGCTGGTGGATTCGAACTGCTGACCTTTTGGTTAG